TGAACGATCGGCACCATCCTCAGCCACCAGGCAGAGCCACCAGTCCTGGACTGGGTACAGGACCTTGGAGGAGGTATGTCGTTCTGTCCGTGGATCAGTATTTCACAGTCCGTTCACCTCAGATGGAGGAGACCTCCATCTGAGCCTTTGATCCGGGAGTGGGAATCTTTGATCTGCTCGTAAGTCCGCAAAAGAGCGCACTGCTCTAATGGAGACATCCACTTATCAGCAATAATTGGGCACAATGAGTGGAGGGCAACTTATCCGTTAACGAGGGAGTCCTCCAGGGAGTAAGAAGGCGGGCAGTTGGATCTTCCAGTCAGAGTCTGTCTGGGCTCTCACTGTGAACACAGAGAGGCCTGGTGTGTTATTTTCTACAATGTAGGCCTCATATGAGCTGCTCTCAAAGACAGGCGAGTTATCATTCACATCAGAGATCTGTAAGGTGAGAGTTACGCTGCTGGAGAGGGAGGGCACTCCCTCATCTGAGCAGGTCACTGTTATATTATACTCAGAGGCTGTCTCCCTATCCAATCCACTATCTGTAACTAAAGTGTAGAAATCACTGGTTGAAGACTTCATTACAAAAGGAATATCATTATTTATACTGCAGTGTACTTTGCCATTTTCACCCGAATCTGTGTCCTCAATATTTATCATTGTCACAACAGTACCGGCTACGGCATCTTCTGATATCACGTTTGATTTTGACAATATATGGATATCGGGTTTATTGTCATTTACGTCAATAACTTCAATCATCACTTTACACGAGTCAACTAGTCCCCCATCATCACTTGCCCGAATGTTTATCTGAAATGTTCGAGCTTTTTCATAGTCAACATTTCCTTTTAGCCGAATTTCACCACTTGCATCATTTACTTCAAATAACCCACGGGCATGATCTAAAATACTCGAAATTGAATACGTTATTCTTCCATTAGATCCCTGATCTGAATCTGTCGCAGTAACTGTCACTACAACTGTTCCTACTGCTGCATTTTCTTCTATAGATGCTTTATAAATAGGTTGCGTAAAAACAGGGGCATTGTCATTAGCGTCTAAAACAGTGATGAGAATCTGCATTGTTCCTGTCATCTGCGGCTCTCCTCCATCCACCGCAGTCAGAACTAACGAGAGGTGTTCATTTTTTTCTCTGTCAAGAGGCTTGTCTAATACCATTTCGACATTTTTCGTCCCATCTGCTTGTTCGTGCAGTCTAACAACAAAATGATCCGCCGGTTCGAGTTTATATGTTTGCAATCCATTCGAGCCTACATCAGAATCAACTGCCCGATCTAATATGAATTTAGACCCACTAACAGCGGATTCGCTTATTTTGAATTTCACGTCGCTCTTTTCAAAGGATGGGGGGTTATCATTAATATCTGTGATCTCAATAGTTACACTTAAAAATTCCATCGGATTCTCTAATATGATCTTAAAATGCAAAGCGCAAGGCGTCGTCTGTCCACACAACGCCTCTCTGTCTATTCTGTCTTTGATTAGGAGGACTCCTCTTTCGTTATTCAGCTCAATATATCCGTCACTGTCTCGAGTAAAAATGCGAGCTTTACCCGATTTTAGTCTCTTAACATCCAGGCCAAAATCCCTTGCCATGTTGCCCACGAGAGAACCTTTTGGCATTTCCTCGGGAATTGAGTAGCTGACCTGTCCGAACACCGATCCGAGAGAGAGGAGCGAGAAAAACAACAGTACTTGCCCTCCCATTGTTCTGCCTAACGTTATTCCAGTGTAAACCAAGATGTTTGCACTCCAATTTTCTCAGTCGACGCTGAATTTCAAAGCATATCCACAACGTGGTACATATTTCCTGTTCTGTATCTCCCGTTTAGTCGGACGTGTGCTTTGATTCTGCCTCTTTCTCTCTATAAAATAAAGACATGGTGGGAGGTACATTGGGTCTGCGGTAAATCCAATACAGGCTGGCCAACAGCGGCACTCTGAGTTCATAAAGTACAAGTGCATGTAAAATGTTCATAATAAACTGATATGTACCGATTTAGAATAAAACATAGTGTCGCAGGAACACTGGGTTCAGGTAACTGTCCCACACTCATCTCTACGCCCTGAACTCACCATCACCTAAAGTAGGTCAACTCCTCCCCCAGAGCCAACCCCTAATTAACTCATTGGTATTTAACGCACCTGTGGCATCATGGCAGCCTTTGTTTCGTTTGCTGTCTGCCTGTTGCCACCTTAAGCCTTAAGGGTAGGTAAATTGTCACATACGATGTCATGTTTGAGCAACAGCTTAATATTACTCATGTGCATCTTATATTAGCACTGAACTACATTAATTTGTATTAGCCTATACTGTCAGCTTGTATCCTGGTCCACCTGGTATTCCTTTGGCCAAATGTGATGCCTGAAGTCCTGTTAACCTGGAGGGATGTGTGTTGGTCATTAGTACTTTAGTATTAATCATACTGAGTAGTGGTAAGTTTGCAATTACCTAAGTTAAAAGATGTAAATGTGTACTTTTGTATTGTAATCTAATGTACAATGTGTTCTTCCTACTAGGTGGTATCAGCTGCTGTTTTTAGGTTTCGCTTGAATTAGGTTTTGTTTGAATTTAGTTTTGCTGTCTTATATTTAGGGTTTTAGTGTATTTTACGGTTTGCTCGTTTGGACCAACTGGATACTTGTTTCTTCTGCTTTATACTCATTTGTTTCTTTGCCCCTTGTAGTGGAGAGTTGGAGCCAGTTGGTGGCGGCTAGGCCCACAGTCTGATTCCCTTCACGGCTTGTAGTGATAGGAGCACTGGGACACAGTTTGTAGTGAGTTTTGATTTGCAGTGAGTTT